CGGCTCCCTTGGCCAATAAAGCGAGGTGAGCGCTGGAACCCCAGAGTTGGTCATGACTGGACCTAATGGTCAGGGGTCCCTTTACCTTTAAAGGATCTAAGGATGCTTTCTTTAAGAGCGGACGCACCACTGCTTCCCTCTACTCCCGGGAAACAGCTCTTGCCACCAGAAAGTTCTTCCTGATGTTCAGGCGGAATTTCCTTTCTTGCGATTTGCATCCGTTGGTTCGGGTTTGCTCCCTCCTCCACGAGAAAGCCTTTCGTATACCATCTCCCCCTCCTCTTGTCGAGGCGAAATAAACCCAGCTCCTTCGACCGTTCCTCATAGGGCTTGGTTTCCAGACCCTTTTATCATCTCGGTCGAACCTCCAGCTTGTCGATCTCCTTCTTAAACTGGGGTGCCCAGAATAAGACACAGGATTCCAGGTGGCGTTTGTCCAAGGCACCTAAATTGCACAGAAGAAACGGCATCTTGCTTTGCTGTGCGTAAGATTGTAATATCCGCGGTCGTTAGACTGGTCCAACCGCAGGCGCTGAGACTTCCTGCCTCTTTGAGATTTACTTTCTTTCTCACAATGAGATAGTAATGAATAATCGCTCTCCCTCCCATGACATCCTTTCAGTCAAAAACGGACGGCAGCGAAGAGAACATCTGCTTCCTCAAGGCCTCTCCTCGAAAACACAAGTAGGCCGGTAAGCTCCAACTTTCACAGAATTGTAGGCTTGCAAGGGACCCCTGGGGGGTCATCCAGCCTGACCCCCTGCAATGCGGGGAACATGAAGGAAAACATGAAGGAAAGGTCTTCTTCTTTTGAACTCTACATGGCAAGGGGTTCCCCAGGGAAATAAGACAGAGTCAAAGCAGAGCCCCCTTGCATAACCTCGGCTCCTCGGCACGTAATTAGACTGCGGAACTCCCTGCCACATGAGGGCCACGAACTTAGATGGCTTTGAAAGAGGACTGGACAAATTCATGGAGGGGGAGAGGGCTATCGACGGCTACAGGCCAGGTTGCTTCTGAATGCCAGTTGCTGGAAACGGCAGGCGGGGAGAGCGGTCTCGTGTTCGAATCCTGACTGCAGGCGTCTTTTTGGCCCCTGTGAGAAGAGGATGGTCTGCTTTTACAGTAATTATCAGTATGTTTTAAACAGAATTTATGTACGAATATAGTTTTAATCAGTGCTTTTTTCCCCTGGGGGGAACGCATACCCCTAAACATTTTTTGAATCTAAGTTTGGCCTCATTGAGGGGTGCCGTTTCTACGGGGATATACGCTCGGTATTTATCACTCCTGTTGTACAAAAATCTCCAAATGGGTCCGAAGTCCAATGTCTAAAACTCCTGGTAGAGGACAAGGATCTAGAGATCACGCTAAGGGTGGCCAAATTCTGCCCGACTGCCATAAAACTTAGGGAACAAGCTGTACTACTAAAACGATTAAGGTTTTAAATGACTATTTTAGGTTATATTTTAGTGATCAAGATTGAATATATATACTGCTGCTATATCTGAATTGTCTCTGTTATACCCAATTGCAAATTCAATGTATTCCTGTTGTGTTTTAATGATTTTCCTGATATTGTAAGTGAGCCGGAACTGGTCTGTGACACGTAATAATAAAATTCTATTTCTATTCATTGAGGGGCAGTATTTCAATATGAGCAGAAATAAATGAGAGTCCCCTAAAACATTTTTAAAAAAAGGGGGGGGAAGCACTGGTTTTAATTCTATCAATGTTTAATATTGTCTTTTCATGACAGATTTACCCCCATATTTTTAGCCTGTTCCTGTTTGTGTCTGTAAGCCGCCCCTCCCGCCAGGGGGGAAATTCAGGGTATAAATAAATATATAATAACGATAATAGCAGTAATAACTGGGCCTAAGTCCACCGCAGCTCCCTAACGGGCATCCATTTTAAGGAACCCTCCCTTCCTGCGATTTCCAGAAATCGGCGTTCAGAAAAGCGTTGCTTCCTCCGACTGTGGAGGCAGAGGAAAGTCATTCTGGCTAGTAGCCAGCAATGGCCCTCTCTTCCTCTGCGAATTTGCCCAAATCTCTCTTGAAGCCACTCAGGTCGGCATACTGAGGCAGGGAGTTCCACAGTTCAACCCTGCGCCGCACAATAATAATAATAATAATTTATTATTTATACCCCGCCCATCTGGCTGAGTTTCCCCAGCCACTCTGGGCGGCTTCCCAATCAGTGTTAAAACAGTACAGCATTTACATATTAAAAACTTCCCTGAACAGGGCTGCCTTAAGATGTTTTCTGAATGTCAGGTAATTATTTATCTCTTTGACATCTGATGGGAGGGTGTTCCACAGGGCGGGGGCCACTACCGAGAAGGCCCTCTGTCTGGGTTCCCTGTAAGCCGAAGAAGGGCAGAGAGCGAAAGGGACAGGTGATTTACAATGAGTTGAAAAATACATATTCTATTTTTTAATATAATTCTTTATTAGTTTTTTTTAACATATCATTTCCAACAATCATATAACATAACTTCTCTTAGACAATGTTTTAGTTTTCCGTCAACAACCTCTGATGATTTTTCGTTCTTTATCGCTTGTTCTGCATTTCTTAACTTCTCTATCGCTCTTAATTATCATTAACTAGTAATTCTCCTCATAGTCTTTCTTGCAATATATTCTTGCAATAACTTCTCTATTACTTGTAATTATCATTCACTAATAATTCTCCTCATAGTCTTTCTTGCAATATTTCAGATAGCCCTCCTTACAAAACTTCCTGCAGTCCTACTAGCGTAAATCTGTTCATTACAATTACTTTCCAAATGGTCCGTATATTTACTAGGTTCTTGCTGTTATCTCTGGTGTCCTGCCTCGTGGGAAACTACCTACACTTCAGGGACATTCCGGGATCAAATCAGAAACCGGCTTCTCTAATAATAATAATAATAATTTATTATTTATACCCCGCCCATCTGGCTGGGTTTCTCCAGCTACTCTGGGCGGCTTCCAACAGAATATTAAAATACAATAACCTATTAAACATTAAAAGCTTCCCTAAACAAGGCTGCCTTCAGATGTCGTCTAAAAGTCTGGTAGTTGTTTTTCTCTTTGATATCTGGTGCGAGGGCGTTCCACAAGGCGGCTGCCACCACTGAGAAGGCCCTGTGCCTGGTTCCGCTGTAACTCGCAGCGACGTCTCTGAGAAATGGGGACTGTGGTCTGGGATCGGGCCTGATTCCTGCGGGGGCGCAAGAGCTCCCACAGTCCCCGCTAACTGACCCACTGCTGCCTCCTCCTTTTTCCGGACAGGTTTCCCCCGCCTCAGGATGCGAAAGACCCACATACTCTGTATCGTGATTCTTGGGAGTTTCCTGACCATCGCTGCCTTGCACTGGCAGCTCACCCGCATGGCGCGCCAGTGGGTGCCCTCGCCCTGTGCCTGCTGCGCCACCTTCCAGCCCCCGCCGCTGGCCAACGCCACCACCCTGAGCGACGGTACCTACACCTACCGCCTCAACCCGGGCATCTACAATGACCTCTTCCCACACCTGCAGCAATATCGGTGCCGGCAGCTCACCTGCGAGCAGAGCTGGTGCCCGGAGACCTCTGCCGCCCCGCTGCTTCTCCTGGCCATCAAGTCCCACCCGGGGTCCAGCGCAAGAAGGGCGGCACTGCGGCGCACCTGGGTGCGGCCGCGGGAGATGGGGGGCTTCCGGATCCGACATGTGTTCCTGATGGCCATGTCGCCCAACCAGAAGCAGATGAACCTGGCGACGGAGGAGAACGAGGAGTTCAGGGACATCCTGTTGTGGGATTTCATGGAGTCGCACCACAACCTGTCCCTGAAGGAACGATGTTTCCTGCAGTGGGTACACAGCAGCTGCCCAGGTGTGGCCTACATCTTCAAAGGTACCATATTTTTCGCTCTATAAGACGCACCAGACCACAAGACGCACCTAGTTTTTGGAGGAGGAAAACAAGGGGGAAAATATTCTGAACCGTATTTTTCGCTCTATAAGAAGCACCAGACCACAAGACGCACCTAGTTTTTGGAGGAGGAACACAAGAAAAAAAATATTCTGAATCTCAGAAGCCAGAACAGCAAGAGGGATCGTTGCGCAGTGAAAGCAGCAATCCCTCTTGCTGTTTGGGCTTCTGGGATAGCTGCGCAACTTGCATTCGCTCCATAAGATGCACACACACATTTCCCCTTACTTTTTAGGAGGGAAAAAGTGAGTCTTATAGAGCAAAAAATACAGTACGTCATGGGCTTGCTGGGGGCCCAAGGTGCAGGGCAGGTGTGCCGGGAAGGAGGTCTGGCTCTTAGGCAGGAAGAAGCAGATGCGCGAAGATAGGATAGGGACCAGCTGGCTTACTAGCAGCGCATGGGAAGAGGATCTAGGCGTCAAGCTGAACGTGAGCCAGCAGTGTGATGCAGCAGCAAAAAAGGCTAATGCTATTCTAGGCTGCGGGACGTGGGTGGTGCTGTGGGTTAAACCACAGAGACTAGGACTTGCCAATCAGAAGGTCGGCGGTTCAAATCCCCGTGACGGGGTGAGCTCCCGTTGCTCGGTCCCTGCTCCTGCCAACCTAGCAGTTCGAAACCACGTCAAAGTGCAAGTAGATAAATAGGTACCGCTCCAGTGGGAAGGTAAACGGCGTTTCCGTGCGCTGCTCTGGTTCGCCAGAAGCGGCTTAGTCCTGCTGGCCACATGACCCGGAAGCTGTACGCTGGCTCCCTTGGCCAGTAAGGCAAGATGAGCGCCGCAGCCCCAGAGTCGGCCACGACTGGACCTAATGGTCAGGGGTCCCTTTACCTTTATCCTAGGCTGCATCAACAGAAATACAGTGGTACCTTGGGTTACAGACGCTGCAGGTTACAGACGCTGCAGGTTACAGACGCTGCAGGTTACAGACTCCGCTATCGCAGAAATAGTACCTCGGGTTAAGAACTTTGCTTCAGGATGAGAACAGAAATCGTGCTCCAGTGGCAGCGGGAGGCCCCATTAGCTAAAGTGGTGCTTCAGGTTAAGAACAGTTTCAGGTTAAGAACGGACCTCCGGAACGAATTAAGTACTTAACCCGAGGTACCACTGTATAGTGTTCAGATCAAAGGAAGTCATAGTGCCACTGTATTCTGCCAGGGTCAGACCCAACTTGGAATACTGTGTCCAGTTCTGGGCAGCACAATTTAAGAAGGATGTTGACAGGCTGGAAGGTGGGCAGAGGTGGGTGACCAAGAATGATTGCAAATAATGGTGTGTGTGTGTGTGTGTGTGTGTGTGTGTGTGTGTGATGCAAAAACCGCAATGTGGGAAAAACCATGAAGCCAGCAAAATGATGATGATGATGATGATGATGATGATGATAATAATAATAATAATAATAATAATAATAATAATAATAATAATAAATAATAATATAACTCTGGGCAGCTCACAACAGAACATTAAAAACACGATAAAACATCAAACATTAAAAGCTTCCCTAAACAGGGCTGCCTTCAGATGTCTTCTAAAAGTCAGATAGTTGTTTATTTCCTTGACATCTGATGGGAGGGTGTTCCACAGGGCGGGGTGCCACCACCGAAAAGGCCCTCTGCCTGGTTCCCTGTAACCTCACTTCTTGCAGGGAGGGAACCGCCAGAAGGCCCTCAGAGCTGGACCTCAGTGCCTACGTAGCTCCATCCTTATGTCAGACATTGTGGTATATTGGCGTGACGCCATGTTTAGCTGGCGATATATCATACCGTTGAAAACGAGATATCGCCCTGTGTTTGTGGGATGTGCTTATGGGACCTTGAACATTACTTTGAATGTCAAAACACGATGTGGCGCATAGATTTGCTTTCACCTGCATTTGACCATCGGGATGGCACTGGGGCCTGGAAAAAGTGGAGGGGGGGACCCCTCCGTCTAGAGGGGTTGGGAGCTGAGGGCACTGTCATACAGTGGTTCTGCTCCTTCCCCCGGGCCATGTTCAGAAAGTGGTGGTGGGGGATGAGTGTCCAGACCCCTGGGCTCTCACTTGTGGGGTGCCTCAGGGTTCCGTCCTCTCCCCCATGCTTTTTAACATCTAAATGAAGCCGCTGGGAGAGAGCATCAGGGGGTTTGGGCTGGGTGTCCATCAATATGCGGATGATACCCAGCTCTACCTCTCTTTCAAATCGGAACCAGTGAAGGTCCTGTGTGAGTGTCTGGAGGTGGTTGGAGGATGGATGGCGGCTAACAGATTGAGGTTGAATCCTGACAAGGCAGAAGTACTGTTTTTGGGGGACAGGAGGCGGGCAGGTGTGGAGGACTCCCTGGTCCTGAATGGGGTAACTGTGCCCCTGAAGGACCAGGAACACAGCCTGGGAGTCATTTTGGACTCACCGCTGTCCATGGAGGTGCAGGTCAGTTCTGTGTCCAGGGCGGCTGTCTACCAGCTCCATCTGGTGCACAGGATGAGACTCTTCCTGCCTGCAGACTGTCTGGCCAGAGTGGTGCATGCTCTGGTTATCTCCCGCTATTATTATATTATTATACGAAAGCACTGTTGTTTTCCAGGGGACGATGACCTCTTTGTGAACCTGCCGGCGCTGACCGAGTACCTGGCTCAGACCCCCAACGCCTCCCGCTTCATCCATGGGAACATCCAGCGCCACTCAGCTGTGTTGAGGACAGGGAAGTACGGCGTCTCCACTGCCCTCTACTCGCAGCCATACTACCCCAACTTTGCCTCCGGTGGGGGCTTCATAGTGCCCGGCCCCCTGATCCCTGCCCTACATCAGGCGTCCCTGGAGCTCCCAGTCTTCCCTCTCGACGACGTCTACATGGCATTCCTAACTCTGGCTGCCGGGATCCCCCACCGCCACGACAAGCGCTTCAAAGTCTGGGGCATCCCCAAGGACGACATTGCGTTGTACCGGGACTCCCTGACGGTGCACGGGAGCTCGATAGAAAGGATGGAGGAGGTGTGGCAGGAGCTCTGGGTCAGCTGAGTGGCGGCCGCCCGTCTGTGCATAGCTGTCAACTGTCCCTTATTTGGCGGGAAAGTCCCTTATCCCAACGCTGTGTCCTGCTGCTGTCCCTTATTGATGATGTCCCTTAAATTTCCCGGGTTTCAAAGGAAGCAGCTCCTCTCCCTCCCTCCCTGCCGGCCAGGGAGGAGGGAGGCTCCAACTGGGTTGCTTGGCTGCCTAGCCCGCCCCCCCCCTTGCCTCCTCTCACCAGCCTCCGCCCCCGGGAGCCCCTGCCACCAGGACTGGCGGAAGCCTCGGGCCCTTCCACCGCCATCCTCCTCGCGGCCGCCGAACTGAGCATCTCTGCCTGGGGTACCATCTTCGTAGCTTGGACTTCGTTTTGCGTGAAAAGTGGTTGCTGCTTGTAGTTATTTAATTGCAGTGTTTCATCAGCTTGAACAGCAACCTTTGGAAACGAAGGGCTAAAAACCGGTGCTGCTCTCCAAAATTATCTGGTCCTTTTAAACTTTGTATTTCAGGTGGTTGACTAAAATCCCTTATTTTGGCTGCTGATCCCTTATTTTTGAGGCTGCTGGCCCCTTATTTTCAAATCTGTAAGTTGACAGCTATGTGCCCGAGCCCCTGGGGCAGAAGGCAGAGAGGGGCCAGCCTCTCTCGCGTACCCGAGCTGGACGGTCTGCTCCCAGGGGCATCGGACGTCTCGCAGAGGCTCGTCGTGCCACCCTCAGATGCTAGGAAGGATCCGCAGGGCCGTTGCTGCATTGGCGTGCTCCTCAGAAGGGCCAGCTAGTAATAGTAATTTATTATTTGTACCCCGCCCATCTGGCTGGGTTTCCCCAGCCACTCTGGGCGGCTTCCGACAAAGATGAAAAATACATTAAAATGTCACACATTAAAAACTTCCCTGAACAGGGCTGCCTTCAGATGTCTTCTAAAAGTCAGATAGTTGTTTATTTCCTTGACATCTGATGGGAGGGTGTTCCCACAGGGCGGGTGCCACCACCGAGAAGGCCCTCTGCCTGGTTCTCTGTAGCTTAGCTTTTTGCAGGGAGGGAACTGCCAGAAGGCCCTTGGTGCTGGACCTCAGTGTCCTACCTACGCAGACTACATTGGACAAAGTTTCACCTGCACACCCCACGTGCAAAGCACATTCCCACCTCCCCTGGGAACAGCGCATGTTTGTACAGGTGGGGCTTGCACACAGCCCAAAACATTGCACCATGTTGGGGGAGGCTGCTGTAGACAGCTCCAGAAACGATTTGTCTGATCCTGTCACTTGTGGGCGACATGAAACCGGACTTTTCCTCAATCTTCAGGCACAAAATAGATGCTCTGAATCCATTCTCCCTTTGCCCTTTGTAAAATGAGGAGGAATACACCTGGAGAATATTAATGTTACAAGGGGAAGGTTGGTGTTTCCACGCGTGGCCTAACCGGCGACTGCGATGACTGCAGTGTGACGACAGCATTACGTTTTTATGCATATGGGAAGATACATACCTCTTGAGTGCATTGAGTCATCCCAGTCTCTGAGAGGTGCAAGACTCCAGGGGTTTTTGGTTCTTAGCCAGGGTTCAGTTTCCAGGGAACAAGGGACAGACAGCGGAGACATTGGTGTCTTTAGGATAAACCAGGGGTAGGCAACCTAAGGCCTGGGGGCCGGATCCAGCCCAATCGCCTTCTCAGTCCGGCCTGCGGACGGTCAGTGAATCAGCGTGTTTTTACATGAGTAGAATGTGTGCTTTTATTTAAAATGCACCTCTGGGTTATTCATGGGGCATAGGAATTCGTTCATAATTTCTTTTCAAAATAAAATTCAGCCCACCACATGGTCTGCGGGACGGTGGACCAGCCCACAGCTGAAAAAGGTTGCTGACCCCTGGGATAAACGATTTATTTGCATACATATATAACAACCTGAGGGTTGTGGGTGGTGCTGTGGGTTAAACCACAGAGCCTAGGACTTGCTGATCGGAAGGTCGACGGTTCGAATCCCCGCGACGGGGTGAGCTCCCGTTGCTCAGTCCCTGCTCCTGTCAACCTAGCAGTTCGAAAGCATGTCAAAGTGCAAGTAGATAAATAGGTACCGCTCCGGCGGGAAGGTAAACGCCGTTTCCGTGCGCTGCTCTGGTTTGGCAGAAGCACCTGCTTACGATACGATATGATACGTGTCAGGGGCTCAGGAACAGAGGCACAGGGGAGAGAGGAAATGGAGAGCGAAGGGGAAGAATCTGAGGGCAGCGTAGGGGAGTATGACAGCGACCCGAGAGATTCCATGAGCTTCTCCAGTGAATCGGAAGATTCCCAGAAGGAGGCGCCGATGGTCAGGGCAAGGGGGGCCCCAGGGGGGACACACCAGAAACAAGGGGCCAGCGGGGACTCCCAAAGCAGCAGCGGGAGATCAGGACCAGCTTCCCCACCAGAGCGTAGTGGGGGGGAAGAGTCCCATGTGTCAGGGCCAGCATCTCCTCCAGCAGGGAGAGAAGATGAGTCAGGGCTGACCACGCCTCTATCGGAGAGCGGGGAACGGAGGGGAGGTCAAATCCAGCTAGCCTCCCCGAAGGGGGGAGCAGTGACAGGAGCAGTGTAACGGTCAGGAGGAAGGTTGCTGGCTGGGCGTGCGCGCCAAGTTCGAATGTACAGGCGCGTGGGACAGCAGAAAACCCGGATTGGGAACCAGGTCCTAAAGCCCGCCGGAGGCAGGGGGAAGACTCAGGGGACTCAGCGTCAGAAGAGTCTAGGAAGGGCAAGACCCCAGCGGACAGGCGGACCCAGAGGAGGAAAGAGCAAAGGAAGAGGTGGAGCAAGGCTAGAGTCTTAAACTGGTGTCTGGGGGGAGGAGACTCAGACGGAGCTTCGGCGGTCTAGAGTTTCAGACGTAGAGCTGCGCGCTGCGGCTGTGAAAGTGAAACTGAACTTCAATAAAGACTTTTGTATATAACAACGAACCGGCGTTGGTCCTTTGTGAGCTGGGACCTTGGGCAGCTCTGACAATACGATACGATACGATAAGCTTTATTGTCATTGTCCCATACAGAACAACGAAATTGAAAAAATCTACATTAGACATTCAAAAACCAACAAGCCTGCTATCCCAGCTATCTCAACCTGGTTAGCCCCCTAAAAACTCTGTTACTCCATAATTAAATACAATATACTCCCATAGAGACTCCTTAAAAGGTAAAGGTAAAGGGACCCCTGACCATTAGGACCAGTCGTGGCCGACTCTGGGGTTGCTGCGCTCATCTCGCTTTACTGGCCAAGGGAGCCGGGGTACAGCTTCTGGGTCATGTGGCCAGCATGACTAAGTCGCTTCTGGCGAACCACAGCAGCGCACGGAAACGCCGTTTACCTTCCCACAGGAGCGGCACCTATTTATCTACTTGCACTTTGACGTGCTTTTGAACTGCTAGGTGGGCAGGAGCAGGGACCGAGCAACGGGAGCTCACCCCATTGCGGGGATTCGAACCACCAACCTTCTGATTGGCAAGTCCTAGGATCTGTGGTTTAACCTACAGCGCCACCCGCGTCCCAGAGACTCCTTACACTGTGTTTAAAACCAAAATCGCATTTGGATAGAAACTGTTTCTCAGGCGGCTAGTCCTGGCCTTTATAACCCTGGACCTTCTTCCAGAAGGCAGAAGCTGAAAGAGATCATTTCCGGGGTGCGCACTGTCCTGCGCTATCTCTGCAGCTTTCTTACGGCACCTGGAAGCATAGATTTGATCCAGGGTGGAAAGAGTGCACCCAATTATTCTCTCCGCTTCCAACTTACCCCACACAGCCCTGGCTTTTGTCCTTCTAGCTACCAGCCCCCCACTCTGGCACAGAGCCCCTCTCTGATGGCAAGAGCGGTTCAAAAGGGGGAGCGGTCTTCATCAGATGGTGGCATACTCTTTCCTTGGAGGTTTCTAAGCAGAGGTTGGGTGGCCATCTGCCATGGACGCTTTAGCCGAGATTCCTGCCTTGCGGCGGGTTGGACTGGATGACCCCTGGGGGCCCTTGCCAACTAGACGGTTCTCTGCTTCTGTGTGCAAACAGAGCGAGTGCAAACAAGTCTAGACATTTCCAGGAAACCAGTAAATTCCAAACGGTTTCTTTCAACCCCACCCCGAGAACAAATATATTTTGCAGAATTCCACTCTGCTGCGTCCAATAAGTTCGGGCAAACTGGTCCAACCTGACAACTGCTGACGGGTGACGTGGCAGCAGCGAAGGCGATCCTGACCTCAGTGTTGGGGTTGGGGCCCTTCAGGAGAATGCACAAGCAGTGGTGGTGAGCCGAGAGAGGCAGGAGCCTAAGGAGAGCTTGGCTGCAGGATCAGGCCAAATTGGGCCCATCCAGGGGAAGCAATGGAGGCAGTGAGAGATTTTACCTTCATGGGCTCCATGATCACTGCAGATGGTGACAGCAGCCACGAAATTAAAAGACGCCTGCTTCTTGGTAGAAAGGCGATGACAAACCTAGACAGCATCTTAAAAAGCAGAGACATCACCTTGCCAACAAAGGTCCGTATAGTTAAAGCCATGGTTTTCCCAGTAGTGATGTATGGAAGTGAGAGCTGGACCATAAAGAAGGCTGATCGCCGAAGAATGGATGCTTTTGAATTCTGGTGCTGGAGGAGACTCTTGAGAGTTCCATGGACTGCAGGAAGATCCAACCTCTCCATTCTGGAGGAAATCAGCCCTGAGTGCTCCCTGGAAGGACAGATCCTGAAGCTGAGGCTCCAAGACTTTGGCCACCTCATGAGAAGAGAAGACTCCCTGGAAAAGACCCTGATGTTGGGAAAGATGGAGGGCACAAGGAGAAGGGGATGACGGAGGATGAGATGGTGGGACAGTGTTCTCGAAGGGACCAGCATGAGTTTGCCCAAACTGCGGGAGGCAGTGGAAGACAGGAGGGCCTGGTGTGCTCTGGTCCAGGGGGTCACGAAGAGGCGGACACCACTAAACGACAACTAAACATCAACAGTCCAGCACCACCCTCACGCACCGTGGCAACTGGCCACCTGTAACGCCTGTCCACAAATCTGTCCCGTTCTCTTTGAAAGCCAACTTAGTTTAGCAGCCACCATTGTCTCCTGTGGAAGTGAGTTCCGTAGGTTAACGCTGCATCGAGTTCAGTTGTAACTGGCTGACTGACCGAACCCAAAGGGTGCTCATCAATGGTTCCTCTTCCTCCTGGAGAAGAGTGACTAGTGGGGTGCCACAGGGTTCTGTCTTGGGCCCGGTCTTATTCAACATCTTTATCAATGACTTGGATGATGGACTCAAGGGCATCCTGATCAAATTTGCAGATGACACCAAACTGGGAGGGGTGGCTAACACCCCAGAGGACAGGATCACACTTCAAAACGACCTTGACAGATTGGAGAACTGGGCCAAAACAAACAAGATGAATTTTAACAGGGAGAAATGTAAAGTATTGCACTTGGCCAAAAAAAATGAGAGGCACAAATACAAGATGGGGTGACACCTGGCTTGAGAGCAGTACATGTGAAAAGGATCTAGGAGTCTTGGTTGACCACAAACTTGACATGAGCCAACAGTGTGACGCGGCAGCTAAAAAAGCCAACGCAATTCTGGGCTGCATCAATAGGAGCATAGCATCTAGATCAAGGGAAGTAATAGTGCCACTGTATTCTGCTCTGGTCAGACCTCACCTGGAGTACTGTGTCCAGTTCTGGGCACCACAGTTCAAGAAGGACACTGACAAACTGGAACGTGTCCAGAGGAGGGCAACCAAAATGGTCAAAGGCCTGGAAACGATGCCTTATGAGGAACGGCTAAGGGAGCTGGGCATGTTTAGCCTGGAGAAGAGGAGGTTAAGGGGTGATATGATAGCCATGTTCAAATATATAAAAGGATGTCACATAGAGGAGGGAGAAAGGTTGTTTTCTGCTGCTCCAGAGAAGCGGACACGGAGCAATGGATCCAAACTACAAGAAAGAAGATTCCACCTCAACATTAGGAAGAACTTCCTGACAGTAAGAGCTGTTCGACAGTGGAATTTGCTGCCAAGGAGTGTGGTGGAGTCTCCTCCTTTGGAGGTCTTTAAGCAGAGGCTTGACAACCATATGTCAGGAGTGCTCTGATGGTGTTTCCTGCTTGGCAGGGGGTTGGACTCGATGGCCCTTGTGGTCTATTCCAACTCTATGATTCTATTCTATGATTCTATGAGATTGCTGCGTGGCAGCAGGTGGAAGCCCATCGACGTTTGTGACACGGGAGAAGGAATTTCGGCAGGCGTGGCGTTAGGGAGAACGGTTCCACTCCACACCTTCAACGTGAAAGGAGAGGCGTGCCTCTTTTTGACCGCAAAACGTCTCCCGGAGTCTGCGGGGCCGTTCTTAGGACACCCTTTGCCAACCTGGTGCCCTCCAGCCGGGAGTTGCAAGTCCAAAACAGCTGGAGGGCACGAGGTTGGCAAAAGCTGTCTTCTTGGGGACTTCCAGAAGTCAAGAGCTGAGGTTCATTGGCCACCTGTCAGGGACTGTTCATCTGTGATCCCCGCATTTCAGAGAGGTGGGGTTGGACTAGTTGACCCTTGGGGGACATCCAGCCCTAAGGTTTCATGGTTCAGTGGATCTCCCTTCTCCTTTATCTGGTTCTGCTTTTGATTCTTAATAATAACAACAGTAATTTTATTATTAATTCCCTGTCCATCTGGCTGGGTTTCCCCAGCAACCTGGGCGGCTCCCAACAGAACACTAAAAACAGAATAAAACTTCGGACATTAAAAACTTCCCTAAACAGGGCTGCCTTCATAATAATAAAAATAAAAATTTATTATTTTTAACACGCCCATCTGGCTGGGCTTCCCCAGCCACTCTGGGCGGTTCCCAACAGACTATTAAAAACAAGATAAAACATCCAGCATTAAAAACTTCCCTAAACACTGCCTTCAGATGTCTTCTGAAAGTCAGATAGTTGTTTATTTCCTTGACATCCGATGGGAGGGCGTTCCACAGGGCAGGCGCCACCACCGAGAAGGCCCTCACAGCTGGACCTCAGTGTCTGGGCTGGACGATGGGGGTGGAGACGCTCCTTCAGGTCTACTGGGCCTTTGAGGCCATTTAGGGCTTTCAAGGTCAGCACCAACACTGTGAATTGTGCTTGGAAACGTCCTGGGAGCCAATGTAGGTCTTTCAGGACTGGTGTTATGTGGTCTCGGCGGCCGCTCCCAGTCTGCGGTTTCATCATCCGGCTCAATGGATCACAAAGAAGTCTTGCTGAGGCAAGCCCAACAGCCTCTTTGACACTTTAACAACATGCCATTCTTAAAATCTTGCTTCACACAGAGATATTTAACGGGTCAGCAATTCACAAAGCCGAAATACAAGTGGTGGCGCCCGCCCTGTGGAACGCCCTCCCGTCAGATGTCAAGGAAATGAACAACTATCTGACTTTTAGGAAGCTGATGGACTATATGGAACTGGCAGAAATGACTGGCAGAATCCGAGACCAGGGAGAAGAGTCGGTGGAAGAAGACTGGAAGAAATTTAAAGACTACTTGCAGAAATACTGTAAAATCAATGAATGTTAAAATGATGTTGGATTGAAAATAAGTGGTATTGGTAAAAACATTATCAAGAATATGCAAATATGGATTGATAATGGCTGAAAATACATGGTTATAATAGGTTAAGATATTGAGTAAAGATAAATGATAGAGGGTAAGGATTTGCTGAAAGGGTTTTTAAACGGGAATACAGAAAGGGGAGGTGTGAGGAGGTCAAGGAAATAAGGAAATGAAAGATTATTGAAAGATGGACTTATTTTTAAATCTTCTTTTTCTACTTTCTATTTAGTTATTAGTTTTCTTTTCTATACCCTTCTTTATGTGTGTTTTTTTAAGTTTGTTAAGTTTTGTTTTAAATTTCTTCTATTCTGTAAACGTATGATTTTTGTAATCTCTATTGTGTAAACCTATGTTTTGTGTAAAACCTTAATAAATATTTCTGGAAAAAAACAAAAACTAACTGACTTTTAGAAGACATCTGAAGGCAGCCCTGTTCAGGGAAGTTTTGAATGCTTGACGTCTTCTTTTGTTTTAATTTGTTGGAAGTCCGCCCAGAATGGCTGAGGTAACCTAGTCCGATGATGAGTGGCATATAAATAAATTATTATCTCACATCAACGGGTGGCAGTGACCTCACTCGTGAGCAACCCAACTCCATTGGTGGCATCCTTCCTAATAAATATTTCTCAAAAACACACCGTGCAGGATATTGCTACCCTGCTGACAGATACCTGGGGTTCCCAGTACATAATCAGGTTTGGAACGATGGTCGATTGGAGACGGTCATATATGGTTTTATTTGCATATGTTTACTTGCCTCGCAGGACATTTTCGGGAGCTAACCCTGCGCAAATCTACAGCCAAGCTGGTGTCCGAACGTCTTGTACAGGGGTAGGAAACCTAAGCCCTGGGGGCCAAATCCGGCCCAATCGCCTTCTAAATCCGGCCCCTGGACGGTCCGGGAATCAGCGTGTTTTTACATGAGTAGAATGTGTCCTTTTATTTAAAATGCATCTCTAGGTTATTTCTTTCACAATTTTTTTCTTCTTTAACTAAATAACTCCGTATGTGATTTACAAAAATCCATTAACAGTTATGTACAGAAATCCGACACCTTCTTAAATGATATTTACAAGGCCAAAATAATAATGAAAACATACACTACTCAATATCCCAAGCGGTCCAAAGTTCTCGCAATAAGTCCGAGAGAATAACTCTCTGTGTATATTTGCCGACGGAAATCCGACAAAAGAGAGAACCGGATTTCAATCTCCGTTTCGTAAATCTTCTTTTGGTCGGTGTGAAACGGAACCGTGCAATGTCAATTCAGTGCTTAACCAAATAGACCAGCTCCAACCTTGAGAAAGCGCTTTGCTCTTTTTGAAAACACACTTCTCTGTATTCCTTGGAAAGGGATGTAGGGCTTCATGGACTGCCCACAAGTTATGAGAGAGGAAGGAAAGCATTTATTCACTTTCTCCAAGCTGTGCAAAATTTTACAAGCTCCTCTTCCTCTTGTAAACAAAATCTGCCCTTTTCCCCTTATGGGGTATCCAAGAGCCCGTATAGAGTCCTTACGTAGGTTCCCTATTGGTAGGAGAAGATAACAGAGGCCAACCAGAGAATATTGAGAAGCAAAGCAGCTAGTAAGCCTGATATTTATTGATCTGTTGCAAACAGGGTGCCCCCATCACACGCAGGAAAGGAGGAGGACCCCAAACAAAGGTGTGCCCGCCCTTATATAGACATTTTAAATTCCCTGCCCTGGAGCTCAAGACCACCCCTCCATACATCATACATACATCACAAAAGGGGTTTAGCTCAAGACCAACCCCCAGACACATCATACCTACATCACAGAAAAGGCGGTCTACAACAGAAATCTGAGCGCGTTGTTTAGCTCCTGTCTGGCAGGTTACCTGTTAATGGTCACTTGATTGGATATCCTGGGGAGCCTGGCCAGTCTTTTGAAATGATAAATACTTAGTTCCTGGGCCAGGTCACAGGCTCACACCCTATTCATATCTTAAATGTGCCCTTAAGACAGGATTTGTGAAGGAAAAATACAATGGGGAGGTTTTCCACTTTGACCTTGCAGAGAAATAATTGAGGTCATTTTGTTCAGGACCCTTTTTTGGGGGGTTTTCAGACATGTGGTTTATATATTTATGTACGTGATTGCATTTATTACATATGTAAGACCTTAATATTCTTATCACACTTTAAACCACTGTTTCCCAATTTTGGGTCTCCAGTTGTTTTCAGACTACAACTCCCATCATCCCACTGGAAACACACAGTTTAGGCATAATTTTTTCCTGCAATAGCCAAAGTCCCTAAGTTCTTACACCATAGAGACCAGTGCAGGTTTTATATTTCTATGTTGCTGCTGCTGCGAATATATTCCTACGACACATAAATAATATTTTATTTTACAAATAAAATAAATTAACAAGACAATCTCCAGATTTGCCAGCCTTGGCTTGGAAATGACGGTTCTGCCGTATGAGTCACAAAGGAATGCTAAATCATAAAAACGTGTGGAGTTTCTGGTCTGTGCTGAAATATCAAATTATGTGTAATTTTATCCATTACCGCTCTGTTAGAGTGAGCGGGGCCAAGATAATTCATAACACTAATTCTGGATGGGCAAAACAATACCTTATTTAGTCATATGCTGCCGTTTCTGTCGAAAAACCAGATTCCAAACTCACGCCAGCTTTGCATTCCCAACAACTGTAAAGGATCACGATTTACCAAACTTAGTTGGTCTCTATAGGTGCTACTGAATTTTTGCT